CCCCAGTATCTATTCCCAAGGTACACACATACCTATGTTCCCTGATACTTATAATCCCCAGATCCCTGTGCCCTCCAGTACACCCATCCCTGTTTACAGGTACCTATGTTCCCCTGTATAATGCACTGTAATTCAACATTTTTAAAATTTATTTTTAAAGACATTTTATGGGGACGCCAGGCTTGACTTTTACCATTAACCCCAGAAGAACATACATTATTGTAGAACATAGGAAAATAGATATTGGAGAACATAGGAATTTGAGAACACTGGTCCTAGGGAACATATGTAACAGAAAACACAAGTACGCAAGAGCATAAGTGTTGGAGAATATTTGTACTGGGGAACAACAATAATGGATAATATAGGAACCGGAGAACATAGGTCTTGGGGAACATAGGTATGGTGGAAGATAGGTACTGGAGACATAGGTACTGGGGAACATAGGTAATGTAGGACCTAGGTCTAGAGAACATATAAGTACTGGYGAACATATTTATCGACGACAAACATAGGTACTGAGGAACATTGACACAAGGAACATGTACCAGAGAACATAGCTATCTAAGAACATAGATACCTAGGGAGATAGGTACTAGATAGCATAGGTTCCAGAGCTCATAGCTACTGAAGAATGTAGGTACCAGGGAACAGAGGTAACGGAGGACTTAGTAGGTCTGGGTAATATAGGTACCAGAGAACATAGGTACTAGGGAACATAGGTACTAGGGAACATAGGTAATGTAGGACCTAGGTCTAGAGCCATCATACATCTTACAGAGCAGATACGACTACAGCTTGATAAAGGTGGAGTTGTTGGAGCTGTTTTTTTAGACTTGCATAAAGCTTTTGATACAGTTAATCACAATGTTCTCCTCTCCAAATTATCAAACTTTAATTTCTCATCTAAGACRCTTTCTTGGTTGGCATCATATTAATGCAACAGAATGCATTGTGTTAAAATCAAAGATGTACATTCCAGTTTCCTAAAATACACAATGGGATCTGTGCTTGGACCCCTGCTTTTTAGTCTTTACATCAATGACCTTCCAAAGTTTTGTCATGATGTAGAAGTCCAGTTATTTGCGGATGACACTGTTTTGTACACGCATGCTAAAATGACTCAACTTGCAGCTGAGAAATTAACCAAAGCTCTTGAGGGAGCGGTTGATTGGTCAATTGATCAATTCTGTCTGACTTTAAATGTAAACAAAACAAAAAGTATGTTTTTCTCTAAGACTAAATTGGACACCTCAAATTTAAACATTTACATCAAGGGTAAACAAATTGATACGTGACTGAGTTTAAGTATGATAAACTCTTAGATATAACTTAGTCAATTTTAGACGTTAGATCTTGTTTGTCATTGGAAGCAGCCAAGATATTCATGCACGCACTAATTTTTTTCACACATTTCATTTTGTATTTCAAATTGGGGACAAGCAAATGTGTTGTGCAGAAATATAACGCTTGAAAATTTTAGAGTTTTTTCAAATACGGAAACAGTATATAAAATTTTAAACAGTTTAGCACCAATCTGTTTGCAAAAATTTGTTTATCGTTCAGTTTCTTTATGCTAAACCAGAACATCCAGGCAGAACTGTGAAGTTCCTGATCGGCGCTCAGCCTTTGGTTAAGCAGCTTTTTCAGTTGAAGCCATCGCTCAGTGGAATGCTGCTCCTGATCGTGTAAAAAACTGTACTTCTATTAGTTTGAATAATAATCTTAAAAAGTATCTTAAATCTACTCAGTGTTGCAATCACTGAATTGCACTGGGTTGTCAATTTTAGAGTTTGCTTTTGGTTTGGGGGAGTTTCGGGGTTTTTGTTGAATGTTTAGTGATATAACCTTTTAATTGTGTTTGGAGAGTGGGGTGGGATGTTTATGTATTTTTATTGTTGATTTTAAAATGTTTTATTTTGTATTGTTTTTATTTTTCTGTTATTTTCTTTTCTTGTTTTTATTAATGTTGGATGTTGTGTTGTTTTTAATTATTAGGACTGCAGATGTAAACTAGCCTTAGGCTAAATCTGGTGCAATGCATCAAATGTTTTTATGTTTATATTTTAATTGCACATTGTCCTTAAATAAAATTAAAAAAAAGAGAGAACATATAAGTACTGGGGAACATATATATCYACAAACATAGGTACTGAGGAACATTGACACAGATGTACCAGTGAACATAGCTATCAAAGAACATAGATACCTAGGGAGATAGGTAGATAGCATAGGTTCCAGAGCTCATAGCTACTGAAGAATATAGGTACCAGAGAACAGAGGTAACAGAGGACTTAGGTCTGGGTAATATAGGTACCAGAGAACATAGGGAACAGAGGACTTAGGTCTGGGTAATATAGGTACCAGAGAACATAGGTACTGGGGAATTAAGTTATGAACCAGCAGCACTGTGGGTCTGCTGGTACTTTTAATCACCATCACTGTTTATAAAAATGATTTAACCATTTTACTGAAAGGTAAATGGGATGTTTTGAAATACYTAACAGCATCTTTACATTCAGATAATAGAGAATATAGTGTGAGATCATCATTTAACCTTACAGCTGTCCTTGGGTCAAAATAACTGAAAATATTAATATAATTTACTGTACACAGAATGCAGTAAATCTTCAGCTAAACAACATTAATAACGTGTAGAAATATGGTATAACATTTTTGTCATTTTTACAGGTAGCCAGAATGTAAGTTCTAAAAAGCTACTAAATTTGTAAAATATTGACATTTTGATGTAAAAACTGTTAGTRGCTACCAGAGGCTCATTGATATTACCATAGAAACCACACCTGTGTCTGTCTCCTTGACAGCATCCTTAATTAGACAGGCAGACAGAGAAGCAGAGGCTATGTCAGTCACTGTATGAAAAGAAGCTGTGCAGATAAACTGTAAAAGTGACTTTCACTTCCTCTGTGTGTGAAAACACTGATTGGAGCAATAAAACTTCAACCAACATTTAATTTTTCTCCTGACAGTCTGAATGTGACATTTTCAAATGTGACCCAGARCTTTTCAGTATGTGGTACTAAATCTGATACATATCTGTATCTGTTTTTCAATGCGACTACAGTCTGAACTGTTCAGTGAGGTGCAGGTGAGCAGATCAATCTGAGTATTTAGAATATTGATATCAACCTTGGCAGTTTAAATCTTGCAACTCCACGTCTTCAGCTAAAGAACAGAAGCCCAGTTTGGACAGTGGACATTTAATTTTCCATGTCCGGGATGACAGAATCCACAGAGATATATAYTGTCTGTCTCAGACCATATCAATACTAAATTTATTGGATCTAAATTTTAATAAATAAGTAGGGGTTCTTCTTTAATGAAAAGTTTCATCTCTCCTCCAAGAGACTTCTTCAGTTCAGTCTGATGAGTTTCAGGTAAACTCAGCCTCAACCATGATAAGGATAAGGAGGTGATCTAATGTTAGGCTTTTCATGTAATTGAACAAAGTGTTGATCGCTCTGCTTATTAAAAGTTTACCTGGAACTCCTCAAACTAAAGAAATCTCTTGGAGGAAAGTTGAAATGTATCATTAAAGAAAAGCCCGTCCAGAGGATCTACTTGTTTTTTTTTTTCTATCTGAGACGGATCAGGACATCAATATTTTAGTTTTAACATGTTGCTCTCATTTCAAACATACACGCTGAGCAACCGGTCAGAGGTAAAATAAAATGTGGACAATCTAAATAAGCATGTCAGATAATGATTGGCTCATTATTGACTCTGACTGCACAACTTCAAAGTCATCATGCTAATATCGCATAGGCTACATCTCTAAACAACGTGCTGAATGTGACTTCACGTCATCTTCTGCTTATGCAAGTAGATGTCACTTTTAAAATACATTGTGAACCTTCACGCCAAAAAATCAGTACTGAGCATTAAGACCTGCCTATAGTCTAATAGACCTTTGTGTATTTATTTGCTGAAGGAATGTGTTAAACATTGACAAGAGAAGCCTGTAATTGTATTGCTGTACAGGCCCTGGAGCAGTGTGGTTATCCTGACTGGGCTTTCCTGAAAGCAGACAGGAAACACAGACAGGATTCCATGCAACCTTCAGGTGAAAATGAAGACCCCAAACCCAGACCCAAACCAGTGGTTATTCCGTATGTTGCGGGTGTTTCGGAGAAACTGAGACGTTTATTTTCTAAACGTGATGTCCCAGTGGCTTTCAAACCCCAAAACACATTACGGCAAAGGCTGGTTCACCCCAAAGATCCGGTGCCCCGGCACAAACGGAGCAATGTTGTATATGCTGTTAAGTGCCAGGAGGACTGCAACCAGTTATACATCGGGGAAACAAAGCAGTCACTGTTCAAAAGAATGTCCCAACACAGACGAGCTACATCTAATGGCCAGAACTCTGCAGTTTTCACTCATTTACAGGCCAGCGGTCACTCTTTCAGAGATGAGGATGTTCTCATTCTTGATAGYGAGGAACGTTGGTTTGAGAGAGGAGTAAAAGAAGCCATTTTTGTGAAGAAAGACCATCCATCATTAAACAGAGGTGGAGGCCTCTGTTTTCAGTTGTCCCCCTCCTACAGCGCTGCCATTGGCAGTATCACTCCACCCCCTGTTAACAATAGGTGTTAATTAGGTGTGAACGATAGCCATGTGATGTGAGTATCAGTCACATGGAGGCAGGGCTTAAAAGCCTGAATTTTGCCTGAAACTCTCAGACTGAAGAAGTCTTTTGGAGGAGAGACGAAACGTTTCATTAAAGAAGAACCCGTCCAGAAGACCTATACAATTTTTTTCCTTTTGATTTTTTACCTGGATTACTGAGATGCATCAGGACATGTATTGCTGTACATTTTACAGAATGTACAAACTTTCATTTACATGAGAAACAGGCAGGTTAAATYTATGGAGGTGGGTAAATTGATGATGAAAGGCAACATAAAGATGTCTAAACCACAGAAAAGTTTGACACTTATTCTAAAATCACATTGTTGTCAATTTTTACATCACTCTTGTTTGGGTTTATTTTTTATTTCATTCTTTTTCTCTGTCTTCTTTACACTGACTCAAGAGGATATTAAACCGATTTGTTTTCGTCGGGCTTCTCCTCCTCCTTCAGTGAACTTCGCTGGGTCATCTGGAAGCTTGAACGTGCTCGCCAGCCTTTTGAGGAGCAGGTGATGTGACTGAACATTTCTCTGAACTTGGTGGACATCAGGTTGTAGAGGATTGGGTTGACAGCAGAGCTCAGGTAGAAGAAGACTCCGGAGATGATGTGGACGTTCTCGAAGATCTTGAGGTGCTGCACAGATGATGGGTCGATGTAGCTCCACACTAAGCGGTCCACATGAAAGGGAGCCCAGCAAATCCCAAAAACAACCACCAACACACCTGGAATATATAAGACAGACATATAGTTTGTTCAATTTTACAATTAAGTTGAACAAAAATATCTTTAGATTGCCTTTTTCAGTTTCTTTTAACTAATGTCATAGTAGAAATACATGCATTGCAGTCAAAAACCAAGGGGTACCACCTGGATACTTGCAGGTTCCCTATAGAGATACATATATTACACAAGGTATTTACAGAGTACATTCAAGATACTTAAATAGAACCGAAGAGTACTCAAACAGGTACAGTAACTTAAGAGGTATCTACTTATGTGCACCCTGCAGGGGTATCTATGGGATACCCATGGGGCAGCGACATGAAATATAGAGCCCTTACAGGGTACTTAAAGTATCTTCAAGTCACCATATAACACAGCCTGYCCCTCCTTTTAAGTATCCTGTAAGCAGGGCTGGCCTTAGRCTATTTGGCACCCTAGGCAAGATTTCAGGTGTTGGCCCTTGTGCAGTTTTTTAAATCTCACGGCCAATGTACATAAATTAACACCAAATTAAATATTTTGATGTTTTTCTWTCATTAGAAACTAGGTTGTCCAGTTGAAATATTTAACAATATAATTCATTTGAAACAGAACCTCAGAAGTCTACCTCATATCTGCCAACTTCTTAATTTGTATGTATTGTATTTACATCTATGGTACCCTTGTATAAGTATCTCTGTAGGTACTCTGTAAGTTTCTTATAGGTACCCCTTAAATACTTAATAGATTCCCTTTAACTCAGTGGTTCCCAAACTGGGGGGCCCCAGAGATCACAGGGTGGGGAGGGATAGCCTTGTCTGCTCAGTGGTTATAAAAATACATAAAATATATCTAAATAATGAATAGAGGTGGGTTTCTAAGGTTCTAGAGGCTCTAGACGATGATTACCTTTGTTCTGAAGGATTTTGTGTGAAACCAGAGTTTTAAAACAATTCATAGAAACCGGAAGTGACTGATGAGCATGTTAGCCAGCAAAATTTGCCTTGTAAAATCTCTATTTTGCTACATTTTTACCAGCTGCCAGCTGGTAAAAAAAAAAAACAAAAAAAAACAAACAAACAAACAAAAAACAGAGAGTGTTGACAGAAAGGAGAAGGTAGAAATGACTCAGCCTGTAACTGAAAATATAGATGGAGGACA